TTTTTTCCGATGTGTTCTTCTTTCTCTCCAACTTATGCTCTATTTATAGCAGTTATTTGAGAGAAATCCGCCCCTTCCATGGTGCAACAAGCACTAGATCATGGAGAAAGCACTTACATGGTGGTATATACACTTGCTTGGTGGGAGGAACACTTGCACCATTGTGGGAGGTGCACTAGGCTGCTTATTGCTTAGTGTTGCAACACAATACACGGATTGGAAAACATCCGTTACAAACACGGATTATATCACGTTAATATTCACTATTAACAAATAAATTTGGTCCAAAAAATTAATTAATCAATCGATCATTTGACCAAATCCGAATCCAAATCCCATTTCCCATTCACTCTAATTTTAAGACTATTTCATCTTAAACAAAAACTCAACAATCCTAACAAGATATACGGCTTGAAGTATATCTAGATTTTTCACCACAATCACACTGATTTCTTTAACACAAACTGTGTGCTTTATATTCACATGATCTGAGCGCACAAAACCCTCAAAATTAAGTTTTTACTTTTTCTCTTTCAAAATTAACCTTACTTTATGTGGACACTTACCTTCATCTTCACACTTATCCTTCTTCGGATGTTTTACCTTCGATGAAAAATAAGAATAATTTCTTCCAATATACATAGTCACAGTTGCTTATACAATCAACTCCAAGCATTGCCAAGGCAACCCGAATAGCAAGCCAACAAAGGAAAATTGGCAACTCATATTTTGTGCCTTTTCTGTCTTCTTCAACCTCAAACTGCCGCTACCATCTCAACCATTGCCACTGCTACTGCCAAGCTAATATCTCTTCAATCTATTACCTCTAGTAAACTCATCCGAAAATTTTCAATCAAGAAGAAGTGTGTGGTTGGTAATGGTTGGTCAGTTGAGGGGTCTATCTGGTCATTATGGATAACTTAAGTGGGCATTTAGTATTGCGCCAAATACTTATGTAAATGAATAACGCATCATGCAATGCATTTCCATATTTTGTGTGATGAACTTTTTTCAAACTCTGTACTGTTTTAACAGAAAATTTTGTGTCGAATGAGGTGTTCACGAGGTAAAATGTATTTTGATTTTCAACTAAATCAAAGTTGGAACTTTTTTGTGTTATAAAACTCCATCCAGCGTCCGGATCTGGAATCGGATGGTTCCCCGGTTAAAAAAAAAAAAAAAAAAAAAAAAAAAAACCGAACTTTATAATTTAACTTTATCAATGAGTCTTTTATGAATTTTGATTCCAAGTTATCTTTGACCCCCCTAATGTAATGAAAAAGAAAAAAACGTAGAGCAAAGAAAATTGGGTGTCCACGTGGAATCAGAGGAATAAGCGCAATTCTAAAGTCAAATGATCAGATTCATCGAACAAGCCTCATAAGTTGAAGATTCAAAAGCTATCATCATTTAAATTTCTAGTGTCCCTGGAATTTCCTTTTGTCCTAATGCATCACATATTTTCTGTCATGGATTACCTTCTTCAGTTAGGCACCACTTGGTCGAGAAAAAAATAAATATGTAACCCCTCTGACTTTATATATGACAAGTTTTTCCAGAAAATTTGACTGTATTAATACTTATACATTCGATATAATGCTCTATCACATTATATATCAATTATTCTATTAATAATTTGTTATACTAAAGTAAATAAATTTGGACGGAAGGTAAGAGAATGATAATTTGTTTCCTAAACTACAATGTTTTGTTCGTTTGGAGTTTCTCCTCCTCTTAGATTGGCTTCTTTCTTGGCCTAACTTTAATAACTTGCTTGGAAACTCCTCCAATTACTCCCATATTAGGTGAATCCATGTGGGGTTAGATTCATTGACTTTATTTTTTTCCCAATAAATGTATAGAATATTCCTTTTCATCTTGAATATTGAGGTGGCCTATCTACTCTTGTACTGCATTGCTAGCTTTTTCTACACTTCCATTCCATCCTGTTGCCAAAAGTCAATCAGAAAAAATGTCTCAGTTTGTTCATCATGTATTCTTAAGTTCCAGAAGCAAAGAAGTAAGCAATACATTTGGAGATCATCTTCAAACAGCTTTGGTAAATGCTGGTATTCGCGCATTCAAGTTTGATGAAGAGCTTGTGGAAGAAGAGGAACATCAGAAAAAAGTGCAGAAAGTAATTCAGGAATACAGGATTCTAATAGTTGTTTTTTCGAAAGACTATGCTTCTTCACAGAATTGCCTTGATGAACTTGTGTATATTCTTGAAAGCAAGAAAGCTTTTGGACATTTTGTTTTGCCTGTGTTTTATGATGTGGATCCATCACAAGTCCGGAAGCAGAAAGGATGCTTCGAAGAAGCTTTTTTTAGGTATGAAGAGAGATATAAAACAGAGAACGACGAAAGGAGAAAGGAATGGATGGAGAAGGTGGACAAATGGAGGGCTGCCTTTAGAGAAGTTGCTGATTTGGGAGGAATGGTCTTACAGAATCAAGCTGATGGGTAATCTCTTCAAAACCTTTTCTGTTTTTCAGTCACTCGGTTCTTGTTAGTTAGTGCTAATTACTTATGGTAACACTACTGGATTCAGTGGCAAAGCCACGAATTTACTCAAGAGGAAGTGTTCAATATATGTTATATACCTTTAAAATCTAATATTTTACCTATATACGCAGTGTAATTTTCCGACGCCCTTTATAACATGCAGCTTCGCCCCATGACTGGATTCCATCAAATTTTCAGGTATGAATCAAGGTTTATTCAAGAAATCGTCAAGGTCGTTGCAAGTAAACTGAATCGCACAATTTTAAGTGTTGCCCTCCATCCAATTGGAATAGATTCTCGAGTTAAAGACCTTAACTTATGGTTGCAAGAGGAATCAACCACTGTAGATATCCTGGCAATACATGGTATGGCAGGAATTGGGAAGTCTACAATAGCGAAAACAGTTTATAACCTGAACTTTGACAGATTTGAGGGAAGCAGCTTTCTTGCAGATGTGAGAAAAGCATTAGAAAAGTACGATGGTTTAGCTCGTCTACAAAGACAACTTCTCTCAAATATTCTTGGGAAGAATGTTGAGAAGTTGTATAATGTCAATGAAGGGGCTGTCAAGATTCAAGAAGCCATCAGCTGCAAAAAAGTTCTTGTTGTTCTCGATGATGTGGACGAGTTAGATCAGCTAAATGCTGTAATTGGTATGCGGCAATTGTTTTATCCAGGTAGTAAAATTATCATAACAACAAGAAATGGACACTTACTAAATTCCAGTGAAGCCTGTAGATGTAAGATGTATAAGCTGAACTCTTTGGATGCTAGAGAATCACTGCAGCTGTTCAGTTGGCATGCATTTGGGGCAAAATATCCACCCTTAGATTATATGAATCTTTCAACAGATGTTATAGTTCATTGTCAGGGAATTCCATTGGCTCTTAAAGTTTTGGGTTCCTCTCTTTGTGACAGAAGCACAGAGGTGTGGGAAAGCGCATTAAGGAAATTGAAAGCGATTCCAGACAGTAAAATCCTGGAAAAACTAAGGATAAGTTATGAATGTCTACCTGATGATAATGTCCAGAACCTATTCCTTGATATTATCTATTTCTTTGTCGGGAAGGACAAAGATTATGCAGTAACGATACTTGATGGATGTGGGTTCTTTTCAGTTGTTGGAATTCAGATTCTTATCGATAGATGCTTATTAGCAGTCACTGACAAAAAAAAACTGATGGTGCATCAACTACTTCAAGACATGGGAAGAGAAATTATTCGCCAAGAATCACCTCGAGAGCCTTGGAAAAGAAGCAGAATTTGGCTACATAAAGAATCCTTCAACATATTGCAGGCAAAAACAGTAAGAATCTGACTCTATGATTTTGAACATGCATTTCAGTATCCCTTAATGAATATGATTTGTTGCTTTTCATCAGGGCACTGAAAATATCCAAGGCCTAGTGCTTGACATGCGACTGTTGAAGGAAGTCAAATATATCGGATCAAATCTAAGTGTAAATGACGCTAGACACAACCGCTCTAATGATCCTGCAGGTGAGAGATCGCTGGTGGTGAGTGATGTCAACTCACAAAAGCAACGGAGGTTAACTGTTTTCGAGCTGTTCACAAATGTGTTTTCAGAAATTTCAAATGGTGTACAGTTTGAACTTGATGCATTTTCAAAGATGAAGAGACTGAGAATTCTACAGCTTACTGATACAAGGTTCACTGGCAGCTATAGTTGGTTTCCAGAGAATTTAAGATCACTTCATTGGCATGGATTTTATTTGAAGTTCATTCCGAAGGATTTTCCTTTGGAGAGCCTGGTTGCTCTTGATATGAGGAAAAGCAAATTGGAACAAGCCTGGGATGGAACCAGGGTATATGTTGTACTTTCACGTTTTAGCAGTAGGGGAAGTAGTAACCGCTTTGTTTAATAAACCTAATGAAGTTGATATTTGCTATTTCAGGTGCTCAAGCAATTAAAAGTTCTCAATCTCAGTCATTCTCATTTCCTAAGAAGGACTCCTGATTTTTCTGGGCTTCCTAATCTGGAAAGACTCATCCTAAAGGACTGTATAAGATTATTCAGTATTCATGAGTCGATCGGAGACGCTAAGGCACTTGTTTTGTTTAACTTGAGAGACTGTAAGAATCTGAGGAATCTGCCAAGAAGCTTTTGTAAGCTTAAGTCCTTGGAAACACTTATCATTTCTGGCTGCTCTAGACTTTCTATATCAACAATGGAATTAGGAAAGCTGGAATTCTTAACAACGCTCAAAGCAGATGAAATAAGTTACAATCAGGAGAAATCATGGACTGAGCTCTGGCAATCTTGGTCATCAAGATTACGAAAATCTCCAGATTATAACAACTTCTCCTTGTCTTCTTTATCAAGTTCCCTGGTTAGCTTGAGTCTTGCAAAATGCAGGCTAACAGATGATTTTCTATCCCTTGGTCTTTGCAATCTTTCCTCGTTAAGGCACTTGAATCTAAGCGAAAACCTGATTTGTAACCTGCCACAAAATATCACAAATCTAAATATGCTTCAGGAACTTTGGCTAGATGCATGCCCAAGCCTCCAATCGCTTCCCAAGCTACCTCCGAGCCTCATCAAGCTGAAGGCTATAGACTGCACATCATTAGAAAGAGTTACAAATCTGCCAAACCTATGGGAAACTCAAACTCTACTCTTGGATGTTAGAGGCAGCGAGAAACTAACTGAGATTCCTGGACTGTTCAAGTTAGAGCCAGTCGGTAACTTTAAGGGGGAAATGTTGAACATTTTAAGCCATCTCAACCTGGAAGATATAGAAAATGCAGAGGTAGAACTATTCAATAGGCTTACAGACACAAAGAGGAAATATTCTGTGCAGGTATACGCGTTTTTTATTAGCATGACTTTCATCTGAGACTTAAGCATTCTTATCTACTAGAGTCCATCTCTACAAAGTACGACAGAAACAAATACAAAAGAAAAAAAGACAACTCCTATGGCAAGTTTATCATGCTTTATCTTTTTTTTCCTTTAGGGACTCTACGAGTTTGGAATCTTCAGCACATACTTTCCTGGAAGTGACATTCCAAGTTGGTTCAGCAACAAGGGTGAAGAAAGCATATTGACTCTGAAAGTTGATTCTCATACTAATACAAAGATAATAGGACTTAATATCTGCATTGTATATTCACGTTCCACTCGTCATCGATTTCAACGCTGGGGTGAAAACCAATTTGGGAACTGGTATTCCTTTTTCATCAAACTAAGTAATGTGATCAGCGGTGACAAGTGGATTTACGCTCCAACATTCATAGGCATTCCAGGATCAAATGAAGATCTGACATTTTTATGCCACTGGAAATTTGGAAAGTATATACAAGCTGGTGACGAGATTAACGTCTCAGTACTTGGTTGGAGTTATACTTTTCAAATGAAAGAGTTTGGAGCCAGCATTGAATGTGACAGACCAGAAACAGACCAGCACTTAACATCAACTAGTGAATCAAAAGAGCTAGCAATCCAACATCGGTATCCAAGCAGTTCTATGCAAGAGCAGTGTGTCATGGGAAGTTATATGCCTATATATCAGGTTGCAGCTCGTCATTACTACTTTTCTCACCCAGACTACTTTTTGCCTAAATCCAATGAACATGCAGCTGTGAGGTCGATCTTGTACGAGAACTTGTTTGAGGATTTTGTGCACAGAACTACAGGTTTAAGATTTATTTAGCTTTCTGTTTCTCAGACTAACCATATACTATTTTCTTCTTACTGATTGGTGACAAATTTGGTACCAAAGATGCAGGAGCAGAAGATGATAGCGATTTTGATTTCGATGAGGAGAACTACACTGAGGAAGCTGCCTTGGCAGAACTAGAGGACAACTTGGAATGGCCTTGGTAACAAATCGAGAAGTGAGACACGCAACATGTATAGTAAAAGAACCAAACTAAGCAAGAAATCATTGCAGATATTGGATCAAGCAAACAGTTGCTTCACTGCAATCTTCTTTCCCAGCCTAGTTATTTCTACATCTTTATCCTTCGAATTTTTTTCCCTTAAGTTTTTGTTTTTGATTTGTTAGATTTTTTTATCTTTCAATGATCCATGAATATTCCGAATGTTTCCTGGTTATTTGGTTTTGCTAATATCCCATAAAGGCGAGCAATGTTCAAACGAACCTTCGCATTTCTTTTTCTCAAAGTTCATGTAGGGGGAGTGTATAGGGAAAATATGATATGACACGTGGTCACCTAAAGAAAGGACACATGGAATCCAAGATGGAGATGGTCACCGAACGGAGCTATTTCGCTTGTCATCGGGAGAGAATGTTCATAAAGGTGTATTAAATGTTTTGCATCCGGTAGTATTTAATAGAGAATATTTTATAGTATTAAGAACGGTTGCCCGTTATAAGGAATTTGACATTTATTTACACCGTTACACCTTCATTAATGGCCCTCATAATTGACATTAAAGGAGGGCACGATCCTAGGACCTCCTTCCCAAGACATAGCTATAAATAGAGAGCTCAATTATCACCGTAAAAGATACGAATTTTCTGACAAATTTATATTATATTCTATACAAAGCTTAATATCATTTACTTTCTTGCTTTTGATCTCATCATTGCTGCGCCCGGATAGTTAATTCCCGGAATCGTTATTTCTGCTATTTTACCTACTTTCTCGGAAGCTTGCGCCCGAAAAGCTAGTTCCCGGAAAGTATCATATTATTCTTCAATTGCTTTATTATTTCTGGGTCAAATTAGTGCACTTGTCTAGAAACCACGTATAAATTCAACTGTACCGTTTTATGAGTAAACAAGGAGAGATTTGTGGGATGGAGGTGGACTTAATGTATGCATCAAAATTGAAGAATCTTTTGAAGTTTACAATTAAAGAGGAAGACTAGTCAATTTGCAGTGAGCATGAGGAAGAGGAATGAATTTTTAAATTACATTATCTTCATTGCAGTAGTCTAACCTTTCACCTGAATCACCTCAAAATTCACGAAATTAAATAGAAGCAGTACTCAAAAATCAAACTTCTCAGCAAAGATAAATCATTAGCTCAATCGTAGATCCGTACTCGAACTAATGGATTATTAGAAATCGCATGCATTATATGGGTTTGACCGGACAGCAAAGAAGACACACCTTCTACGTTGGATAGATTGAGAGAGCTGATGGAAATTGGGGATGTAGAAGCCGATGTAGAGCCTCTTTGGCCAAGGGAATTTTTTTTTGGGTAAAACAAAGTACTTTTTGAAAAATTGAGAAAGTGATTTTGAGAAGAAAAAGTTAATTTTTTTGAAGACAAAAATTATCCTTGCCATAAATTTATATTTCTCAAATTATCTTTCATTAATTTAACTTTTTTCTTTTTCCGTTTTTATTTCTACCATCTCTTTCTTCTTCTTTTTTCGTTTTCATCCTATTTTTATTCCCCTTCTCATATTCTTCTATAATATATTTTCTCTATTATAGAAAATAAATTTCTTCTTCTATATAAGATTTATGGATTAAGTTCTTAATTTATACTTGTAATACTACATAAATTTGGATTAGGTGTGAATATGTTAAATGAGTATTCCTATCGGGATGAGTATGGGTAGACATTATTGTTTTTGAAAGAAAGACGGAGAGTGAGGTGCATAAGATTCGATAGAATCGACTAAGTTTATGAAAGATCTGTTTTCCAGCCTGATTTCGTGAAAATTTGTTTAGAATGAGAAAACTTAAAACATAAAATTTGCGGTCCTTTGAAATATCTTTCCAATGATATGTTTTGGATCCCAACGGATCTCTGTGCAAAAAGTCATGTGCGTTTTACTGGACAATGCGTCTGCATGCTCAGCTGCGTGCCCAGTTGCCACGTGTGCAGCGACGCACTCTTGGCAGTGCCACTGCCTTTGCTGCATGTTCAGGTGTGCATCAGCTGCATGGGGGCGCACCTAGGAAGTCGTTTTAAATTCCCTACCTCGTTCCTTACACCCCAAACACGTAAATTAGCTCTAGAAAGAGAAGCTCTCAAGAACTTAACTTCCTCTAGGGTCCCTCCATCATCCAAGGTAAGTTCTAATGATGATTCTAAGTTAATTTCAATTCTCCAACACCTTATTAACATGGGTAAACCCTTCAAATCATTAGATATTCGATCAAGACATCATTATTGAGAAAAGAAATCCTATAACTAGAATTCAATAGGAATGAACATCAAAAAAGTAATAACTTCACCCTCTAAATGATTATAGCATTGGATTAATGATTATAGACTCTAAGTTCATGAGATATGAGTTGATGAGATTGATAGAAAAGTATGAATGGTTATAAGTTTGGGTTGTTAATTGTTGATTCAGGGTGTTGTTTATCTTATGGGTGATGAAGGATGGTATTGATTATAACAATTTGAGAATTTAGAATTATCTAGGAGCCAGAGAATGAGTTGTTGGGTGTAGAAATACCGTTAATAAGGGTCATGAAGCTTTATGCCCACCAAATATTTGATAAAATGCGTAAGTGACTAATACATGAGCATTAGTGTTAATATTAGTTCCTCTTGATATATATTGCCACAGATTATCGTTGAAAGAGACGACAAACATTGTGATACGCTTAAAAAGGCAAGAGTCAAGGTATGTGAAACTAACTCTATATGTTTAGGAATGTTAATGAATCTCCCTATACTATGTTTCTTCTATAACGTTACTAATTGCTTCAGAAATATAGTTAACCTTAGTTCCTTGAATAGTTGCAGAACTTCTATTCTCTATCTTCGTAATTCGTTCATGACTTTCATTTCGAACGTTGTGAGCTTAGGGCGTAATCAATATAGACTTGTGTTTGATGCCCATGAGTCTCAGTCTAGATTACTCAGCATGTCATAAACAGCTGAAACTTCAGTTCTCATAATCAGTTCATGAATACATGTCTCAGTCTAATATTATTCAGCATTCTAGTATCATGTAACTCAGTATGATTCAGTATTTCAGCATCATGTATTGCAGTATGATTCTCAGTTTCATATTTTTAATCTCTGAATGTTGAACACTTGTATTTAGGCCTAAGGACGCAGTTATGTATACGTACTTGGGCCCGATCGAAACTTGTGTACATATATATTGGGCCTAAGGTCGCAATTTATTTATTCAGATAAACAGGTGGTTCATCATTCAGAAGAGGGAGTATTCATATCTTTACTTTCTTGTTCAGTTCAATTTCAGTTTCAGTATTTACATTTTTTGTTTCATTGTTTTACATACATGTGCAATTCAAATGTACTGATACTCCTTGTGAGCACGTGATTTTTTGCCTTAAAGAAAACTACTCCAAAATAAATCAAAAAATAAAATAAATTTCTTTTACTGTGATATTTTTGAATTTTTGCGTGGTGTTAAATATTTGTGTTATGTCCGTAAATGTTTACTTTGTCAT